CCTTGCCCCATTATAGAACGGGAACTCCTGCCATTTCTGTCACTGAGGCCATGATTTCATCTAAGAGTTACAATAGTTATTTTCTTTGAAAAGTAATTTGCCTCCTTACATGCTGTTTTTAATAAATTCAGCACAATTGATGCAAATATGAACTCGCATTTGTGGAAAGTAATATGCCATGGTGAAATGTGATCTCCAGAAATTCATTCCTCTTGAGTGGCTTTTTTAGGTCTTTTTTTTTTTTTTTTTTTAATAAATGCATTGATTTTTAAGCCAGATGTGATCACAGCAATTGCTTTGACTTTCTCCATAACGCCAATTATAACCGGGCACAAATTAATTCCTCTTTAAATTGTAGACTATATTTCAGTCAAAAAATAAATCCTATTTTGCTTTAAATGAAGAGAGTGATGGAGAACCCACATTTGCTAAATCTCTTGAGTGATTTATAACTCTTGCTTAGAAAAACTGTAATCTCCTTTCCAATCTGAATTTGTCCAGCTTCAAATAGCAGCCTGGGGCTACTGCCACACAAGGCTGAGAAGCCCATTACCCAAGTATTTCTCCCTGTGCAGGTGCAGAGATTGTAACCTTCTCGTTCCTTAGCCTTTTCTTGGGCAAATTAAACAGATTTCATCTTTGTGCCTCTTCCTGCTGTTTTGGGGCAGGGTGGCCACCACATAGTACAGCACTCAACCAAGAGTGACCTCCCCCTAACCCACTTCAGTCACTGTGATCCAGGTCAAAACCAACCATCTAACCAAAAAGGCAGCAACACCTTATTGAAAGTGTTTGAGCTAACCTAGATGCTGGTGACAGAATGGGGCTAGAAAGGGAGGATTTGTCCTGTTATATTGTGTCAGCTGCAGCCATGCGATGATACCTGAACTCAGCTCAACCAGAGCCTTCTGGTGTGCTGAACAAGGGTTTCCACTCCTTCTAGTCCTGACTAAGAACTATTTTTTTTTTTCTGAATATTTGACATCCAAATACAAGTGCATGTCATCCAAGTCATGTCATTCAAGGTCTTCCTCAAATGTGCATCACCTTGGAGTTGCCGACAGCCAACCTCACTGGACATCATTCCACCCACACTGCAAACACACTCTTGTTTCCTTAGAGACTGTGGCATTTTTCATGCTCTTTACCATCTCCGGAAGAACCAAAATCACTTCGCCACAGCTTCAGATTTTGCTCATTCTTTTAGTCAAAAAAAAGAAAAGAAAAAAGAGAAACCTTGAAGTTCTTAAGCGATTGCCTCACATAAGGTTGATCACTTACTACGATTAAGCTTCTACAAGCTTCTCTTATAGGAATTATTTTACAAGTCCACRTTAAGTTACTGCAGGAGACCCTAGCGGTACAATTCTGGAGACCCTCGATGTCATCCTGAGAGATCTCTTAAAGAAGTCCACAGTGTTTTTTCAGGCCCCATTCAGCCACTACCAGTGTTACTTTCTCGTTACAGCTCTGTTCTCTCTGAATATCTTCAGAAAGCTGGCTCTCACATCATGGTTCCTGCTGCACAATGTTTCAGGAGAGGTTAGGCCTACTTTAGTAACCCATTGCTATGGAAACTTTCACAAAGCATCACTGAGAGCAGGAGTTGTTGGTCAGAACAAAGATGTCTTGGGCAAGTTTTGGGACCTTGGCAGGTCCTCTTCTTTCTGTTCATGTCTATTTGAACAAAATTCACAGAGAAATCGCTTGAACAAATTAAATTAGACTTTYTGCCCTTGCCTGTTTAGCTAGTGTATCTCTCAGAAGTTGTTGGCTTTTCCAAGGAAATCTTCCCACAAACTTTTTCTCCAGAGCTTTCTGGTACTTATGTGTGTACTGACATCAAATGTACCGACTTCTATGTCTTCTCAGGATGTATTTATGAAAGCAAACATTAATTTTGGCATAACATGGTTTATTTCACCTAAAGAATGTGAACGTGAGTTTAAAGTTGGAAGACTCTTAAAAATTCATGTCTCAGGTGCTCCTGAGGTTTCATTGTCATCAAAATACAAATGCATCATTGTTTTGATTTAGTGTCCTTCCCAATGAAATATTCTGTAAGTGCTTTGTCTTTAAATTAACTACTCTTTCATTCAATAATTGGTCTATAACTGTAATTGCCAGTCTTTCAGTCATAATCATTAAAAACAAATTAAGTTGTTCCAAACTCCGGTGGTTTTATGATCGTATAGATCAATATAAATCACAGTTAATTAACCTTTTTTTATCACTCAGGTTTTCAGCATGGCAATAATTGGCAATATTGCTACCTCTCCATACCCACTTTGTAGTGATATTAATACAAAATGGGTTTGCAATAACAGAGGCTGAAAACTTGACAACTCAGGTTGCAGCAATGATATGAGCGGGTAATTAGACAGTGTTTATCTGCATAGGTAAAAAAAAAAAACCTTTGGAAATATGAGTAGGATCTGAAAAGTATTTTTTAAAAAAGTACCAAAAAACAAGTATGAATAGCACTTGAATATTTGTTTGCTTAGCAAACATTATCAGAGTTGTTGTAAGGTGTAATTTTGGCTGTATTATAATGCAGACACAAAAGCCTTATCTAATTGCAAGTATTTCTTAAAATTTGAAGACAAAATATGCAAAAATATAGTCTAGACTCATCCCAGGGGAAATTCTGCCTCTTCTGAAGTCAGTTTCTCTGCATTTTTAAATTCACACAGATCTTTGGGCCAGGGCAGTGCTTTTTGCTGCCGATATTGTTGGTTTGTACACCAAGCTCTGCGACTTGTGTCCCTGCCATGATTCCCCTCTCTCATATATCCTTACACTGCACATTTGCTGGACTCCAGTCATGTCTTCATGCTTGTCTAGAAAGTGCCTATTTGGAATAAAATGCGCAAAACAGTCACAATGACAACTCTTTTTTAGATAATTTACTAAGCTTAAATTCTGAAGAACKCTATGCTTACATCTCTGAATGACAAATTAGGAAGAAAAAAAAATTGCCTAAATCTTCTGTTGCTGCAGAATAATGAGTGTTGGAATAAGGTAAATTTTATTAAATCAGGTGACACGACTGGAGAAAGAACAAACATTAAGATCCATGATACATGACAAGGTGCTAAGATATTCATGTTGACCAAGCAGAAGATATCATTATGAGTCTCTATAAACATGGTATCACTTACATCCCTAGGTGAAGACAGCTATAGCAGCATCACAAGTGGTTACACCAGGTGCCCTCAAGGACACAAGTAGCTCACCTGCAAGCACCTCTTCATCTTTCAGTTTTACCCTTCTGTAGCATCAGGTGATTGTTCAGCCGTGATCTGCCAATTTCCATCAGCTTTCAGATACTTTGCTTTTGTAACTCCAGTGTATCACAAGGGCCTCTATGCAGTAATATTTAAAATATTTTTGCTTTTTGGGAGTATCATCCAGAATCAGGACCATGCAGAAATAACTCCATTGGAAAGCCCATGCCAGATATCAGCAGGTTTGCAAATTTTGATATGCAAAGAGATACAATTTCAAATACTTTTTTTTCCCCTAATGTTTACAGTGAAAAGCCCATGATCCAGAGATTCCTGGCACCTACGAGTATTTCCTACAATTTTCTTCCCCATCTTTGCCTTAGTATTTATGTATGATGGCTRGAGAAGCAAATTTGCTTAAAATAATATTTTCTTCAAACACTCAGATATTATTTTATTTGAAGAGTACCAATATTTCTTTTTCAGTCCTCTTGAGCTGAATAAAAGATACCTCAATCCAAACTGCYAGTCCATTTAATCATTTATTATACTGGTTTGATGTGTTCATGACTTTCTTGCTTGTTGGTTTTAAGTAATAGCACAATATATCCAGCTTTCCTCATATCATCACTGCATGATTCCTACAACCAGTGGTTAATGCACTGCATCCTTGGAAATCTCAGTCCTTTTAGTTTGACTTAATGAAATAGAAAAGGACAAGCACGAGCTGAAAACACATATCCCATCCCATCCCATCCTAAAACACATATCTAAAGGTGATATTTGTACCTCACAAAAGTAGTTTCCTTTCCTTGTCTCAAATGGGGAGAGAGAGAATCAATCTATTAAACTTTTGTTCTTCTGCCTCTTCTCTATAATATTTTCATAAAACTCTCTTCTTAATTTTGGCTATTTTCATTCATTCCTTTGGCTTTTTATATTTTGTTGAGCTTTTTCCTYTGAAAATTTTAGACTGGCCATGCCTATTTCACCCAAGTAAGACCTGCATCAGACTCAAGGTAGTGGTGTTTTGCAAACATACTTGCTCTGGATTTCAGAGACATTTTTCCTTAGTGGTGTTTTTGAGACATGAGCCAAGTAGATGAGTGAAAACCACACACACAAAAAAAGATGTTTCCAAAGAAACTTTTCCCCTTTCTGCTCTATGGTTTATATATATAWAAAAAAAAAAAAAAAGATTAAAAAGCAAGTAAAAAAAAAAAAAATGCATTAAAGTCATTCCTGGAAAAGAATTCCCACTGAATTACTAAATTACAATGATATTCTAAGCAGAGAAAATAATCTTATGCAGGCCCCTCAAATATCTCAGCTGAACGATGTTGCCCTGATGGGCTTGGAGAATGGATGGAGAGCCTTACAGAAAGCCTGAAGAACTCATGCCTGACACTTCTGCTTTGGTAAAAGCTGCTGGATGATAGTTCTGGTTGCTGGTATCTGTGACATTATATTTTTTTTAAATCGGTTTCATATCAACATTTGTATGTGCCAGAAAATTTGTTCRAAGAGGAGCTTTAAAAGGGAAAGTGGCTTCTGGTACAATTTAGGACTCATTTCAGAAGCAAAGTCCAAGAAATTACACTGTTTCAGGATGACCAGATGTTGTCCTTGGACAAGCAGAGTCATTTTACAGAACTCTGCTTTTTGCAGCTTAGAGGATTCACATGAATGAATTTAAAATATATATGTTTTACTATTCAAATAAATGCTTAACCAGATTTTATATTCCTGTTTTTTTTTTTTTTTCTTCTTTCATGCCAGTCCTCTCTTCCCATGCTCTCCAGCAGGCAATCTCTTAGGAACCTGAGAATATATATAAACAGCTATGAGACATGCTTCTTGATATGCATCAACTCAAAATAAACCCTTTTTTTTTCTTGCCCTGAGAAGCAGATTAAATAAAATAATAAGTTGGCTGCTGGACTAAGTTAAAAAAAAAAAATAAAAAGACTCTGTGAATTCGTTTATTTTAAATGATTTTTTAACAGGCAGGACTAGTGGCCCAGAAAAGCTGAGAAAGAGCATTTSCACAAAAAAAAGAAAAAGCCCTCCCTCAAATGTTACCCAAATGTCACATCACGTAGAAAGAAACACTGTCAAAGCAGAAGATGTGCTCTGTCCTGATGCACTAGTTTCATAATATTATGACATTTACATCCTAATGACAACTAAACTTTGGATTTTGGGAAATAACAGAACCCAATTTGTTGTGGTTTTGCCACCTCCCTGGGGGACCCTGCAGACCTTGCACAGGTTGGGCAGGCAAGGGAAAAGATCAGGATCCTGGGAAGGATGGTTCGGGTTATGTGGGCACAGAGGAGTGACGGGGATTAGCCGGATTGACCACCACGGTTTGGTTAAGGAAAGCAGCACAAAGCCAGCGCAAACACGTARGAGGAGAAAGAAGCTGAGGAGATGAAGCCGAATCTCTCAGCCTCCCSCTGGGGCTCTGGAGACCAGAGGAGCGGCTGGACTCCCGCTTCCCTCCAGAGCCCCTCAGCAGAAAGGGCAGAGAGCAAAGCTGGGGACAGCCCTTCTTGGGGCAAAGAGCAGAATTCGGGATACGACACCCTGCTCCCGGAGTCACACACTGGCATGGTGTCCTAGTGCAAACACCCACCGTACCTGTCCTTCTCAGGCCTGACACAGGGTGCAGAAAATCTTGGCCCTGCTGGTGCGACCACGGCGTTCAGAGGCTGCTGCRGCTGCTCACTGTCCAGCAGAGCTATTGCGCATTTTCTGTTCCCTCCAAGCTAGTAGAAAACACTTTTCTTTCACATGTCTTTTGCTCTCCGAAGCCCAGCAGTTAATAAGTTTTCAGAGATAATTGTATTTGCTGGGAGGCTCTGGGCGATTGGCTGCGCTTCGAATGGGTGAAATAGGAATGAGAAATAGTACCTGGGTTTGTACTCTCGGACGCTGGATCCTGGCAAGCAAATCCTGTAACTCAGCGATGAATTAATAAACATGTTCCATACAGTGGTGGGTATTCACAGAAGGCACAGCCGAGGCGCAAGGACACACAGCCAGAGACCTGTCTTAGCCTTGGCAGTCATCTGCTACCACGACTATCGCGGAGGATGTTGTGCATCTGCAATATGGAAAAGCCTTTAAGGTCTCCCAGAGATGGGCAGCTCTTGCCCAAGGTGAGTTTCATAAACTCTGCTAGGAAAGAAGAGCTGGACAACATTTAATAGAATTGACTATTTTATCCTAGCTGGAAATTTTGCTGTGAGGCAGGATGCTTTAGATATTCTCTGGAGTGCTTTATCAGACCTAGATCATCAAGAGATGTTCCATAGACTCAAGTAAATTGAATACCATTCATATACATCTTACACAATAATGAATAGAAAAATATCTGCAGTGAAGTGAATATGTTTTTTTTTTACTGGTAGAATTCTTATATAAGCTATTCATACAATAATTCTACACTTCAAATAATGTAATATTGTATTGCATAAAGCAATGCAATTCCCACATCAGAAACTGAAAAATGCCTTTTGTGATTGGCTTGGATTTTCAACTAAAGGTTCAAAGACAGTCTTTTCATATGCAAGGAAATTTCTGTAAAAGGAAATGTGAACCTTACAAACTGTTCTTGGTTAGCTTTGTTAATAACACTCAGTTAATTACTGCTTTATATTTAATTACAATAGATCATGATTCATTATTTCAAATAGGTTTAAAGCCCAATAGACACCAGACTGCACAGCAAATACGCTTCCTTTGTGTGTGAAGCTTCTTGCAAATTCTCAACCTGTTGTAATATAAGTRCAGGAAAAAGAATAAAAAATATGTACACAAAGGGAGATACAGTAGAACATTTTGTCTATTCGTTGGAGCTGGATAGTCAACATGACAAGAAAAATTAAACTGGGATTTAGAGACACTGTTTTACCTTGTAGAATGAAGAGCTTTCAGGATTTTACTTTAATTACCTTCTTGTTCAGTTTTTCCTTTGTTATCTAAAATCATCAATGAGACTTTTGTCTTCTGTTTTCCACTGCCATAAATCTCTGGAGCAAAAGTGCTCCCTCCAAGTAAGAACAGAACAGAACAGAAGAGAAGACAAAAGCAAGGAAGTATTTAGGCAACAGACTCCATTAAAGGGAAAAAAAAAAAAAAAAAAAAAAAAAAAAAAARGAAAGAGAAAGAAGTACATCCCACCGAAATAAAAGTTCTAAATATTTTCATTTAGGAGGCAGTGGTGGCAGCATCATATATGCCTCTGGAGTCCCAGAAAAACCCGGGTCAGGTGGGTCCCTCCTTCCAAAAGGGATTTTTGGCACCCTGTTTGAGATRGTCACAGAAAGCAGCATCTGAGTCTGAGATAAGCAATATCCATAGGCTATGGAGCCCCATCAAGGCCATTGGAAACACCTGTGGCTCCTGCTTAAACTCAGAGAGAACTGCCTTAAGTAGGGGCATCAAATACAGGTCACTGCTGTAACACAAGGTTGGGTTATCTGGGGATAAATCACTCATGGCAGAAGTGAATCATCTTGAAAACCTTTGCATGGAACCAGCAGCCTGCTGTGAAAAGTTTCTTTTTTAAGAAATAGCATTATGTAGCTAGTCAAATATGTTCATAGAACCCTCCGAACTACTGTAGAAAACAGCTAAAAATGGTAAAAGCTGTAGAAAGCTCACTAAAGGATGGCCTCACTCAGTTAACACCTAGTACTAATATGATTTGAATAAAACGCAAGGAGTTTTTTTAAACTCTTGATTATATTTTTAAATTGTGCTTTCTGCAACAGGGGAGAACAACATCTGTGAAGCTTCTTCAGCATGTATAAAATGCAAGATTTTGAAAATCCTTGATCATATTTAGTATTAATGCAAAAAGATTTCTTTTGGTCTTTGTTGTTCCCTGAGTTTTTAATGGGTTTGGCCCCTGGGCCCTTTATTCTCCAACAGCAGAGGATGCAGAGAATAACATGTCTTACTCCAGCAGTACTGAGTTCCAGGAGAGGATTGTGTTCACTGGCTGCAGAAATTCTTACTGACTCTTAGCTGCTGAGCTCAGCCTAGCGGCCTGACACTCACTCCACAGCTGGGCTAGGGTACAGCTTTTGGGCACGCTCCCCRTGAGCCAGGATGTCGGCCAGAGGAAAGACTTTGATCAGCGACATTATAGATAAGGATTCAAAAATAGTTGTGTTGTTGGATCCTGAGTTGAAACTTAATAGTGGCTGCCTTCGTCCAATATACAACTTATAAAGTGAAAGCCTGCCAGCCAAAATATCTATATATTTATTTATCTGGTATTTACTTTATTTCAGGGGCCATGAAAGAGAGGAAACTATAAATATATATGTGCCTGTGAACTAGTTTCCCAGGGAAAGTTGGTGGAAGCTGGAAGAGCCCTTCCTCCTATTAAACCCAGCAGTCTCTATAACTGATATTTTTCTCTCTTTCCATGTGTGGTTCTGACATCTGTAGTCTGCAGACAGCCTTGAAGACCAGCGTGCCAGGACAAGCAGTGACATCTCCCCCATCTGTGCAACCCATCCTCATYCAAGGCTCCCCAGGCTTCCTAGGAAAGGAAACGTGATGCTCGATGCGAAGGCAGGTGCWCGGGTGAAGGATGACCTCAGATCCGTGCATTCCTTGTCAGCATTTGGATTACGTGGGAACACAAAGATTGCTGGGCTGCTCTCCGCAAGCAATCCCTGGGATTAATTTTGCCCCTCAGTACACCCTTAAGTAATGCCGTGAGATGTGCCGGGGCTATGTGGCTTACAGGGAGAAGCAATCCCTTTCTATGCAAAACTGGCAAGCAAATGAACCAGGAGAGCTCAAACAGCCTAAAAGGCTTTGCCTCACTTGCATACTAAACCACATCTTGCTTGTAGATAGGCTGTGCTGTACCTGTGGTACCTCCTTGATGTCAATAGTCTCCTGGTAAGTCCTGCCAAGTGATGTGTGCACAGGTAGATTGTGCTGATTAGCCCTTCAAGAGGGACTAGCAGAAATCACACTGACACTGCCTGGCAAAAACATGAATGAGGAGATCTTTGGGAAGTGGGAGAATAACTGGCTTAAGACACGTTTGGTGAACGATGCTTCTTAAAGTGGCTGCTGATACTGCTCTGCCTTAGCAGCCATTCATCTGGGCGTGGAATGAAAATTGATGCTGCTAAAACAGATAATGTCAATATTTCGTTTGACATCTGGTGACCTTGTTCATATGGTAGGTATAATTTTGGGATTTACTAGAAAGAGTTAAGCCATTTTCAGGACACTAAGAACAGACCAGAAAACTTGGTGAAGCCACCTAAATTCTAATGTAAAAGTTACCACCTACTAAAAGAAAAGTGCTGGGGCTAAGGGACTGAATGAGCACACTTGTCTAAAATATAGATATTTCCTCMTTAATCGTGTATGCATAATAGTCCATGCAAAATTTAGATAGGTGTTGTAATCTGCTTGCTTCTTTTCMTTAACATGGTGATAAGAGCCAGCTACATGACACTTCTTTTTAAAATGTGTGCAATGCTCTTTCTTTTTTTGGTAACTATAACCATAACTATAAAGGATAATTCCGCAAGGACTTYTAGAGCGATTCCACTGGATACATCCCACAGGCAGCTTGCCAAAACYCAGGAACAACTCTAATCACAAATGTGTGGAGGCACCAGACAACAATCATGTTTGAGCAACTTTTAGAAAAGATCTGCATTTTCTAACACAGATTTCGAAAAGATGTAGGTCCATACACCTAACTTACGTAAAAAATCTGGTTGGCTATAAATAACATCACTATTTGATGTTTCTTAGGAGTACCAGAAACTTCCTGTACAGCATTATCTTCTTTTTCCCGTGAGAAGGCATGGATTTTAGAAATCAACAACAGCATCTGTTGGCCTGCACAATGACAACTTCATTGTTTTAGCTGTTCATTTTCAAGGTCAGAAGAAAATTGCCTTCTTCCCACCTACAACATTGCGTTGTTTGCATGGAGCATCAGTTACTGGTGGGTTTTGTCATTTCCCTCAGACACATGAATCATCGTCATTACTAAACACAGCAGTCCTGATTGGAGAGTGGAGGGGTAGGATAAGAAACCTGTTTGATCCAGTATAGAAATCCCCTGTTTAAATTGGGAATCTTCCAAATTCCCATCATCTGCTTCTGACTACCATCCCCGTAGACTCTCAGATGAAGAAAAACATACTGCATCATCACATTTCTAGCTAAGAAGAATCGGTTTCAGTCACTAGAGAGTTGAAATTGCCAATGTAGATAGTCACTTCACATTGCAATTTGGATACTGAACTTGGAAAAGAGGATTCAAAATAGCAGCTTCTTATCTACTATGATGGGATGCTGTAGGAGGACTAATGTGAAAACTGGACATCTGGAGTATGTATTTTTTCTCTGTACTTGAAAATCTTATTATTGTAGGGGAAGAAAAAAGTGGAAATTCAAAATCTGTGTAGCTGATGAAGGAAAGTATTTATGTGCTTAATCTTGAAAGAAATGAAAAACAATCCATTGCTATAGTAAAGGGTTTTGTCTGTACCTCTGCCAAGGTCACTGAAAGCATAAATTCAGGGAGACAGACCTTGAAAGAGAGCAGTGCTGCTTCCCCACAATAGCTTTCTTAGGATTCAAGGGGTTGTGAGAATTTTTTTCTTGACATTACTTGCCATTATTAAATACAATTGAAAACATTTTTCATAACTTCTGGCAGTTCAAGGTCTCACCGGCATAAGAAAATCCA